TTAGAAACTAAACTCCACAATCAACAAGTTAACCCTTTGCACTCGGGAGGTGACTCTCAGTCACCACTCGATTTGGCGCAGTAAAACTATAAAATCTGATATTTAACACATTGTTGACCGATCACGAGTTAACTCGTCCTTTCATGTCTAAACGTTGCATCCGCTATTTCAATTGTTGAAACGCAGGGCAATATAGAATATTGCAAAAGCAAAATATTCGAAGTTATCTAAAACATATGTCCGAAGTTTCATTTCAATTCATTATATATAAACGAAGTATATTGAACTTTACTTAGATTGTTCCAGTTTCATATTCAATTACGGAATGATAACCGGTGACGTAGGATACCTATTGTGTAACATTACCGGGCAACAATGTGTTAATATTGAATTTTGTATAATGCCTCCACGCGTGAAATATTGGAATAAAATAGCTTTGTTCCTCAATGCACTTGTGATTTCCCTTCGAGCTAGTTTCAAAGAATATCGTATTCGTCTCGTCAAAAGATATTATATATTTCTAGTGAGAAACTTCCGAGTGTAAAGGGTTAACACGTTCACAACCACACGTTACGTATGTGTGTCACAGATTCGTTTAGAGAGCCCAGCGTTATATATATATATGTGAATAGCTCCGGTTATATCAAAATATCACACATATATGACACTCACGTAAAATGCTTTGTTCGGTTCATTTACTGTCTTCTAAATGTTTAACCTTTAACTACCCGTGCTGGTGTAAAAAGTACACCAATATTCCAAGAAATTATCAATTATTATATTCATTCATGGTTATATTCCTAATAAATAGCGTAATTCATCAAGATGATGTATTTTCTTGTTTCAATACAATAGTATATGTACTTAGTCACACATTGATACAGGTGGTGAAAATTCAGGGCGCGAGTAGTTAAAGGTTAAAAATGATACGAATAACACATCGCATGAAACAATTAGAAGAGAAGCACGGTCCGCGGTAAGAGTATCTCAAATGTGACCGTAGTCGTGAACATATTAAAAAAGGGAGCGGCGGAAGGGGGATGAGTGGAAGAAGTTTACGCGGGATTCTTCCGAACTGCGTCGGCGGAACCGCCGCTTGAAGGAGTAGAGAAATTCTCTTCGGGAGCACAAAAGGCACTCTTTTTTCTTCTTTTCAGCTGCGGGCAGACGGAGTGTTATCACGATACACGTGCGCGGTCGTGAGACACGCGTTACGTGACTCACGGCCGGGAGCGACGCTTTTGTGCAATTAGGTCTCGCTACCCCCCCAGGGCGCGCCGTGCAATGCCGTGCTTACGAAAATAATTCGTGGTTTTCGGTCGACTGAGAACGAAGATAAACGACGAAGTAAACCACTCGGCTGTTCTCTTTCGCGGGAATCAAAAGGGAAAGCAATTTTGCTGGTTGCTTTTCGATTCGATCCCACTGACGGAGGATGTAGAAAGGATGCGTTGATTTCGTGTCGTGTTCGTGATAGCGTACGAACGAGACGATCAAATTACAAGTGAATTTTCTGTGGTAATTGGATGACAAGCTCTATTCGATTTCGTTCGATGAATAACAATCGTGGAAGCAAGATTACGATCATTTTAGCAGTACAAAAGAATTGATCTGTAATTAACATGAATACGGAGAGCTAATGGCACGTTACTTTTTAATTATGCCTCTACGTTGAAGCAAACACGAGGAATTCAATCTTGAACCATGCTCGTTGTAGAATCGGACAGCTCTGTGTTGGCTTATCGTAATTTTGCTATCATTCTGTGCCATTAGATTATTAAAACGGATAGAAAATTTGTGGTTGCGTTAACCTTCAACAACGTGATTGATAAGTATCTCCATTTTTCATATATCATGCTTTACGATCATAAATTATGCAACTATCCGAGTGGTTAGATCAATAGTGACGTCAAAGGGGCGATCGTAAATCTTTGCCAATGACAAATTTTAACTTTATTGTTGAATTATTTTCTTACCTTTAATGCTAAATTCACGACCGTTTATTGCACATTGCATCCTATTATGATTCCTAACAGAATAGCTGTTCACACATACGGATATTAAAAATGAGATCTTCGAAAACAGAAAATTACGATATGTCTACAATTGTATCAGTCAAAATTAGTATAAACTTCTACTGAATAATATTTACAAAAGGCACTATTCCTCAACTTACTACCCCATTTAGTGTTAATCTAATTTATTTTCATTTCCGAACTTTGTCCTAATCTCAGTTCCTTTATATCTTCCACTCGTATTATCTAAAGTTATCCGAATTTTAGTGACCCTTTGCCTTTACTTTTGTTTCTTGCGTGAATTCAGCGTTTTGTCGATCCAATATCCGCAAGTGCAGCATTGGAAAGTATATTTACGCGTGGCACGGAGACGAAACCGTTGAGGTGCCCGATGGAGTATCCGTAAAAATGGCAAACGATCCGGCGAACAATGGGCATTATGCACGGTCGCGCGGCTCGGTTTACCACCCCTCGGGTGGAAGTGAAACGGGTACGCGTCGCGACGGCCGTGTCTGCATAAAATTACCGGCGAAACTTCCGCTTGTCCTTCGAGTCGATTTATCGCGCGGCCTGTCCGAATCGATTCCGCGGCCAGCGGTTGTTCGTTAACACGAAAACTTTAGCCTTTCGATACGCAATACACCGGCGGCCGTCGGCCGGTCAGTCTCGGTCGGTTTGAGCCGAGCTGCGGAACACGACTCGTCTCCTACTCGCCGT